CGATCGTTTCCCATTTATCTCTAACAATCTGTTCACAATTATATTTTTTATTATTGTTTATAGTAATTTGTTTCGTTCTAGTTTCTATAGTGTACTATAGTTTTGTTCTTTTTCAAAGAAAGTAATGGCGTCTTTGAATTCAGTAGCGTATCAAGAAGGGGGTCACCCTTCATATAAAATTTGTAAGAAACTAAAAAAATTGTTCAAAAATTCTTTTTCAAAAAATTTTTAAGTTTAATTAATTTTATTTTAATTTGTGATTTGTAGTAAATTTGAAGTGATTTGTGAGTTTGTAGAAAAATGATTTTGTTATTTAAATAAATTGTTAATATTAGTTATTTTGAATTCCATATAGAAATTTTTGTGCTGCTTTGAATGAACAAAAATAATTTTTAAAAGCTATGAAATGAAGTAATCGCGTCTTTGAACTCAGTTGCATATCAAGAACGGGGTCACCCTTCATATAAAATTTGTAAGAAACTAAAAAAATTGTTCAAAAATTCTTCTTCAAAAAATTTTTAAGTTTAATTCATTTTATTTTAATTTGTGATTTGTAGTAAATTTGAAGTGATTTGTGAGTTTGTAGAAAAATGATTTTGTTATTTAAATAAATTGTTAATATTAGTTATTTTGAATTCCATATAGAAATTTTTTTGCTTCTTTGAATGAACAAAAATAATTTTTATAAAGCTATAAAATAACATTTTATTTAACATGCTCTTTGAGTATTTCTTCAGAATCATCCTCTTCATCATACTCATTGAAATACTCTTCCTTATTTAATTTTTAAATAAATACTTAAAAAAGAATTTTTTAAAACGAGTCTATTTTTTAGACAAACATTAGTAAAATGTAAATATGCACCATAAACATGCATCATAATTTAATAATCATTTTATCAAATTTTTAATATTACGTTTAATTAAAGAAAGTATTAAAGTTAGATTGATATTAAAATAATTCCTCAACGTGGAATAATTCCGTGTATCACACATTATACGAGTATAATTGTATGTACTTAGAATAGGAACAAAGATAATTTACCTTGGAACTAGTCACTCTTCAAAGTGTTAATTTACTGCATACCTAATTGAGCGATGCAATTCGAGTTAAATCCTTCCTAATTGTTCCTTAACAGCGCGTCATACTATGCAGTAGAATTTCTCGTGCGAAGACATAATCGATCTTACGAAGTTCACTCTTTCTAATGAACTCGAGAAATCAAACTGTTCCCTTTGCTGTTTGATGCAACAACAACTTGGAATCTACAATAATCGTCGGCGACAAAGTACGGTTTAATTTTCAAAGATACTTTGTTAATTAGAAACTGGGATATAAGGCAAATGTGCAAATTCTAAATGAATACATTGATGAATTTTCTATTATAGTTTACAAAAGTTGCAAAAGGTATTAAGATTGTAGAGGCTGCAACAGTTATAAACGTTACAGGATTTACAAAATTTACAAAATTTATAAAATGTACAAAAATTTATAAAATTGATCAAATTTATAACATTTACAAAATGCACAAAAATTGAGAAAATTGAGAAAATTTACAAAATTTACGAAATGCACAAAAATTTAGAAAATTGACAAAATTTACAAAATGCACGAAAATTTAGAAAATTGACAAAATTTACAAAATGCACGAAAATTTCTGCATGCCTAGATCTCCATATGGTTAGATCTTCACATGCTTGGATCTCCATATGGTTAGATCTTCTCATGCTTGGATCTCCATATGTTTAGGTCTTCACATACGTAGATCTTCATATGCTTAGACCATCACATATATAAATCTCCACATGCTTACATTTCCATATGTGTATATCTATACATGTCTGGATCTCCACATATGTAGATCTCCACATATGCAGATCTTCACATACGTAGGTCTCCATATACCTAGATCTCCACATGCCTGGATCTCCACATATGTAGATCTCCACATATGCAGATCTCCACATATGTAGATCTCCATATACCTAGATTTCCACATGCCTGGATCTCCACATATGTAGATCTCCACATATGCAGATCTCCACATACGTAGATCTCCATATACCTGGATCTCAACATGCCTGGATCTTCACATATGTAGATCTCCACATATGCAGATCCCCACATACGTAGATTTCCATATACCTAGATTTCCACATGCCTGGATCTTCACATATGTAGATCTCTACATACGCAGATCTCCACATACGTAGATCTCCATATACCTAGATCTCAACATGCCTGGATCTTCACATATGTAGATCTCCACATATGCAGATCTCCACATACGTAGACCTCCACATACCTAGATCTCCACATGCCTGGATCTCCACATATGTAGATCTCTACATATGCAGATCTCCACATACGTAGATCTCCATATACCTAGATCTCCACATGCCTGGATCTCCACATATGTAGATCTCGACATACGTAGATTTCCATATACCTAGATCTCCACATGCCTGGATCTTCACATATGTAGATCTCCACATACCTGGATCTTCACATGTGTATATCTCCACACGTCTAGATCTCCACACGCCTAGATCTCCACATGCCTTGATCTTCACATATGTAGATCTCCACATGTCTAGATCTCTGCATACGTAAATCTCCACATGCCTACATCGTCACATGCCTAGGTCTCCACATACGTAAATTTTCACATACCGAAATCTCTACATTTCTAAATTTCCATAAACCCAAATTTCTAGACCCAAATCTCCACATAACTACATCTCTAGATCCCCAAATCCCGAGGTCCCAAAACAAAATAATTAATTAAATAATGTTGCATTAACGTTTGCTACTAACCACTTGCAAATTTTACCCTTTATGAACAATTTCCTATAAACTTCGCCTTTCATAAATCTATCACAATATTCGCCCTTCATAAACAACCCCCCACAATATTTCCCCTTCACCAATTCCTCACAAGACTCTGTTCACCTCTCAGTAGATTCGCCCTCCACGAGCAATCTCTCCCAAGATTTTCCCTTTACAACCTCCCAAGAAAAATCCCCGAGCAACGTAAAAGTTTCGTAACCACGTACGCAAGAGTCTAGTGTTTTTCGTGCGTCTTTTTCCCTGCTCCCGCATTCTTGTGGCTCTCGGACCTTTAACTCTTTACCGTAGCCGGCTAGCTGGCTGACTTTTATCGGAAAGTGATATCGCCGAAGCCGCAGGCAGCGCACTTTCATGGAGGAAAGTAACTGGTGGGTGGAGGGAGGCCGAAAGTAGCTTAAAGAAAGTAGAAACAGGGAGAACGAGGGAGTAGTCGAGGAAAAAGATGGATGGGGAGAAGTTTGAAAATACTTGATCGGTTTGATGCTACGCGGAGAACCTTTTAGAGACCGATCGCCGTCACCTACTGGGACAGTTCCCTTCTTCGAGAAGGTGGTTTCCATCCTTTCATCTGCAGGGGTGCTTTGGGGGGGACATTTACCGTCGAATTTTCGAACGCGAACTTCGAACGGGACGCGATCGTAAGGGCCGGCCAGTGAATTCAACGACACGGAAAAGCCATTATTCCGTGAAAAGAAGCGAACTCTTTGAGGTGCAACGCTTACGCAGTAATTCAGCGCGTTCGAGGGAATATGGTTCCTCTAGGAGAAATCTGGCGAAGAAAAATCTCTTGCGTCATGAGAGAAACCCCAACAAAAATCCCTGTTTTTTGGAGATATTTGGGATTTTAGAAATTATGGAAGCTTGTAGATTTGGGGTACGAGAGGGAGGGTTAACTTGGGGATTTGGGGATAAATCTAGCAGCCGGGTGATGAGAAACCTCGCTTGAAGGTATATCAACAAAAATCCTAATTTTCTGAGATCTTTGGGTTTTTGGGAATTTATGGAAGTTTGAAGATGTGGGGCACAAGAGGGATGGATAACTTCGGGATTTGGGGATAAATCTAGCAACCGGATGATGAGAAACCTCGCTTGAAGGTATATCAGCAAAAATCCCAATTTTCTGTGATCTTTGGGTTTTTGGGAATTTATGGAAGTTTAAAGATTTGGGGCAAGAGAGGGAGGATTAACTTGGGGATTTGTGGATTTAGTTGGGAAGATGGGAATTTGGATGTGTTGGAATTTGGACAGGTTAGAATTTGGAGACTTAAGTATATGGGGATGTGGGGATCAGTGGATATTGGTATTTGCAAGTTTGGAGATTTGACGGTGTAGAAGTTTGGGAATGTAGGAGTTTATGAACGTAATTTCGAGTTTACCTACTTGGGGATGTAGGAAGCTGAGAACATAGGAATTTGGGAATATTAGAATTTCGGGACTTTGAGATTCAACTTTATTGAATTTGGAGATATTGAGATATGGAGGTGTAGGAATTTGGCGATATAGAAATTTGAAGATATAGCAATTTGGAGATCTGGGAATTTATACATATGGAAATTATGGACTAAGAAATTTGGAAAAATTGAAATTTCAGAATCCAAGAATTTAAGCATGTAAAATTATAAAATTCCAAAAAATTTGGAGGGAGAAACCTTGAACTAAATCTTGGGATAAGTCCTGAATAATGATTTGCAGTAACAAAAATTTCGTACCTTCTACCGTTGTAAATACCTTCATAACTTGATCATAATTCATTACATCTTTGATCATCAACATATTCATCCACAAACTGTACCAAAAATCTTCAACCCCCAAAAGCTTGCCCTAAACCAAAGCAAACACCCAATATCACTTAAGATCACACGATTGACACATTCAATATCCCCGCGATTAACCTTGAAGGGGGTAAGTGAAGATTCGTCAAAGGGACAAAAAAAAGAGGGACATCGATAACCCTTGACGAGGGATGAAACGAAGTGGAAGGGGAACGGGTCAGAATTTATCCGGACGGTAATATTTCTATTCCATCGGTGTCCCGTTAAAGCTCGAGATTTCACTTTCCCTTTTATTCCGGTTATTTCATATCGCCCGCACCCCGTCGCGCTTCTGTTTTCAACCTGAGATAGGACTGACATAATTTTCCGAGATAGTACCTCCTGCTCCAAAGTCCCGTCTCCCTCAAACCCTGACTTTTCTTCCTTCCGCCTTCAAGCTCCAACGTTCCAACTTTTTTTTACTCCCCTTATTCCACTCTTCTTCTTTCTTCTTCTCTTTTGCCAGCTGAAAACAAAGGGATCGCGTAAGTCACTCGATTCGAGGATCATCGTTCTTGCTTTTTCTCTTTCCACGCTTTCTTCTTACCTTCGTCGACTTTACGCTTTCGACGGATTGTTGCTGTCCTTGATACACTGTCTGTTATTGAGATGCTGTTTAGTACAATTGCTGTTTGTTGCTTTTGTTGGAGTTTAAAATGTAGCTGTTGTCAAATATTTGTGTAGCTTTTGTGTCTTCTGCTTTTTAAACCCTTATTTTGTATTATGTTCAAACACTGTCAAAACATTAGTGAATATATTTTATTTATATTTAATAAATTTGTGTATGTTTAATGAAATAGAAAAATTGCATATGTTTTTATTATATTATGTTCTGACATCACACTCTGTCAAAACATTAGTGAGTATATTTTATTTATATTTAATAAATTTGTGTATGTTTAATGAAACAGAAAAATTGCATATATTTTTATTGTATTATGTTCTGACATCACACACTGTCAAAACATTAGTGAGTATATTTTATTTATATTTAATAAATTTGTGTATGTTTAATGAAACAGAAAAATTGCATATATTTTTATTGTATTATGTTCTGACATCACACACTGTCAAAACATTAGTGAGTATATTTTATTTATATTTAATAAATTTGTGTATGTTTAATGAAACAGAAAAATTGCATATATTTTTATTGTATTATGTTCTGACATCACACACTGTCAAAACATTAGTGAGTATATTTTATTTATATTTAATAAATTTGTGTATGTTTAATGAAACAGAAAAATTGCATATATTTTTATTGTATTATGTTCTGACATCACACACTGTCAAAACATTAGTGAGTATATTTTATTTATATTTAATAAATTTGTGTATGTTTAATGAAATAGAAAAATTGCATATGTTTTTATTATATTATGTTCTGACATCACACTCTGTCAAAACATTAGTGTATATATTTTATTTGCATTTAATTTTATATATCTTTAATTTAACAAAAAAGTATATATTATATTTAATAAAATAGAAGAACTGTTAAGATTTTTATTTAACAAAATGCAAGAATTTAATAGCATATTACATTTAATAAAATACAACTGCATAATACATACATTATAATTTGCATTCTCCATTTCCTAATTTTTATTTACGATAAAATGCGGAGAAGTTAAAAGTACAAATATACAACGAATTAAATAAACGTTCCTTGTTCAACGTCTAATAGAATAGGGTGAAATTTCCTTGTATGGAAAATTAAGCATAATAGGAATCAGTTTGTTAAGATTACAAACACCCAAGTGTATCGTAACGTAAAAGTGCATCCAGAAGGACATTTGCCTTTCTGAAATGCGCTTTACGCCATAAAATTCCGCGTAGAAAAAGAGTAATTCCACTTTGAAAGTTAAAGTTTAAAGCAGCCCCTATAACCCGTATAATTAGTTCAGCCCGAGAAAACCGGCAAACGAAGCTCTGTTAGCTCGGAAAGGAATCCTGCTGAGGAGAATGCACCCCCAATAAGCGTCTAATTGCGTGCAACTTTCGCGTAATACACTCTCGATATCTGAGCTGTATATTTGCAGATTCGCGGAATCGTCGACTTTAGCGCGTTTCGTGCAATCTTCTCATTCCTCTTGCGGAACCTGAGAACAAATAAGAACAGCGGATTTATACATTCGGATTAGTCTACAAATATTTGGGATGAATTTCAAGTTGAAAATTAAGAATATATTTAAAGTTGGGATGCCATATATCCGGATATTCGTATATATAAATATCCACATGTTTAGATTTATATATGCCCAGATCTCCACATGTCTGGATCTCCACATGTGTATATCTCTACATGCCTAGATCACCACATATGTAGATCTTCACATACCTAGACTTCCACATGTCGGAATCTCCACGTACCTAGATCTCCACATACCTAGATCTCCACATATGTAGATCTGCACATACTAGATCTCCATATATGTAGACCACCACATACCTAAATCTCCACGTACTTAGACCTCCACATGTCTGAATCTCCACGTACCTAGATCTCCACATACCTAGATCTCCACATATGTAGATCTCCACATACCTAGATCTCCACATATGTAGATCTGCACATACTAGATCTCCACATATGTAGACCACCACATACCTAAATCTCCACGTACTTAGATCTCCACATATGTAGATCTGCACATACTAGATCTCCACATATGTAGACCACCACATACCTAAATCTCCACGTACTTAGATCTCCACATATGTAGATCTGCACATACTAGATCTCCACATATGTAGACCACCACATACCTAAATCTCCACGTACTTAGACCACCACATACC